GAAATTCACAGATTTGCATTTTAGAACTTCTAATCTTGGAATAAAAGAATTGTTCATCCTTGTTGTATTTTAGACTTCAGAACAGGCTGATGAGGTAGGGTTCTGTTTTTTATTTTATTTTATTTTATTTTATTTTATTTTATTTTATGTTATGTTATTTTATGTTATTTTATGTTATGTTATTTTATGTTATTTTATGTTATTTTATTTTATGTTATTTTATGTTATTTTATGTCTCCGTCTCTTCCTCCCTCCTGTCTTTCTACCTCAAAACTCCTGAGAGAGCTAGGTTATAAGGAAGACAGCTCGTCTCTGAAATACAGCTTGTGTGATTTGTACCTCTCATTTTTTTTTTTCATTAAAATACACCCTTAGGTAAAGTCATGGACCTTAAGCTCATTTGCTGGGAGAAGGTTTTGTTGCAGAAAGAAGAATCTGGCTTCTGAGGCAGGGTGGGAAGGTGGGCAGGACCGAGTGGCAGAGTTAAGTCTGAGATCCATTAATAATATTGTACTCAGTGTGTCCTCTCTGTGTTCTCATACAGCCAGTACTTGCTTCCTGAGCTCCTGCTCTGTGCCAGGCCCCTGCACACTGAGTCTTCAGTGTCTGCCCTTGAGAAGTTCACAGTCCTGTTGGGTGGGAAGACAATGATAAAGCAGCCCAAAGAGGCCAAGCAGGAAGTGACTGTTAAAAAGATAAACTGAGGCACATTAAAAAGGTTAAGAGTTTATTGGAAGAAAAATCAAAGTCAGGCAGCTCCAAACCTGATGCAGTTAGGAGCACTTCCCTGACAGTAGCTGGGGAAAGACTTACGTAGAGGAGGTGCGAAGCAGAGAAAGGAAATTACCTCATTGGCTATGGCTTACAGCCTTGTTGGCTGTTTGTGATTGGTTGTCTCCGGCGTTTTTATTTCATAACCTTGAGGCATTTGTCAGCTCAGCTTATGTAGGCCACCGTGGCATTCGAGCCACCTCAGTCTAATGGCCTCCTTGTTTCATTAATTTAACAGTACTAAAGACACAGAGGAGGTGGCAGCTAACTTCACCTGGGTGAGCCCAGGGATTGCCATCTTGCAGAGGATGAATGGGGAGGAGTCCAGGAGAGAAAAGGAGGCCAGAAGAAAGGGGGTTTCAGGCCGAGGCAGTGGCAGGTGATATGTATGCAGGAGAGCAGAAGAGGTTTGGGAGCAAAGACTTTGCCAAACGTAGGTAGACCTGACACAAAGGAAAAGAAATAACAGGAGATGAAGCTAGAAAGCTTGAAGAAGCTCACATTGTGAAGGGCCTGTGTGCATAGCTGAGAAGCTGATCTTTCACTGCCATGAAGAGCCTTTGAAAACTTCATATAGGGGAACTAAATCTTCATTTTTGGAAACTAACCCTGAGGACAGTAAATTGAAGGGTTGGGGGCTTAAGGTCTTAGCCCAGGGCCTCTAGAAAAAAGGCCTGAGGCAGATGCAAGTATTATTCCTTACTGGGGAAGGAGGTGCAAGGCCAGAGGCTGTAGGAGTGGAGGAGGAGGGAAGCGAGGCCAGGAGAAGCTCATGGTGACAAGATGGAGCGGACAGCCATGTTGGCTCCTGCTGAACAGACATTGCAGCGTGGTCCCTGGGCGCTCTGCGCTCCTGGAAGGTTTGCAGGGAAGAACTCTACTTTGGTATAGTCTGCAGAAGAGAGAAAGAGGGGAGTTTTATTTGCCCTGCCCCCTTCTGTATTTTCATTGTCCCTGGCTTACCTCCCAGGAAACTAGTGGCCCTGTCCTTCTGGGATGCTCTTCAGCATAGCAGGCCCCACGATCCCCCACCGCATCTCACAGTGTAGTTTCTGTCCTGTCTGAATGCACAGGGCAGCGTCGGTAGCATGAGCACCGACTGAGTGAGAGAGTAGGCAGTGAGCAGTGTGTGTGAGCGGCTCCCCTGCACTTTTACCTGGAGCCCATGGCGTGATTCACCCTCAGCACATTTCTGCGCAACTCTTGACAGGCGGCAACAAGAGGCCTGAGGTGAATCACCTAGCTGTCAGGTCAGTTTCAAAGCTTAGAGTTCTGTTGGAAACATTTGTTTTCCTCTGATAACCTGTTTGATTTTGTTCTCATTCCTGAAATTACCTCTCTGAAGGTAATTTCTCCTTTCTGATTTGACCGGGCCTTCACAGACTTTATTATTAGCCCCTGCACATGCTTCTGAGCTTGCCCCCTTGTTGTGTTTCAAGGAGGCCCAACCTCTTCTGGGATTGATGGTGATACATGTGTTGTATCCTATATATTGTTCACTCCCCAGGCATTCGGTCCAGGAATCCCAGTCTTGCGAGTGTCTGTCTGCAGTGAGGATTCTCCAGGACAGGAACCAAGTGGGCCATTCACTCTTCTTTGTCACCCGCTGGCCAGACCTAGTTCATGGGCCTTTGGTCTATCTTCACTAGTTAGCAGCTGGCTTTTCACAAGGAAATGTCTCTTTTTGCTTAAAGGAGAGAGGCCTGGCCTGCCCAATCCCTGAACAAAAGCCCAGCAAGATGTCCTGACCGGCCTCCTTTTGGATGATAAGAATCCACCCAGAGTAGCTCAAGCAAACTGTGGGGTGGGGAAATGTTTGGGCAGCTGCTGTTATTATTACTGGAAGAATCCAGAAAGATCTGGGAAATTTAGGATAGGGAACAGCTGTGGATGGAGTGGGACCGGGTTTTCTCTCTTCTGGGTCTCTCTGTTTTCTTTTCTTACTCTATCTTATCATCTCCTTTCCTCCTCCTATCCCTTTCTTGCTCTCTCTCTGTGTCATGCTTAGAGGGGTGATGTCTAGGTCCCTATTATTACCAACTGTCTGGCTCAGTCTTCCCCTTTCCTCCTTTCAGCTCTCATCTGGTTCTCTTTCTACTTCCACCCCCCAAAACTGGCGGCTGGCTTCCTCAGAACTTGTATCTGGATCATAATTACCCAGACTCCAGCACTGAGTGACCTTTTGGCTCTATAGCCCACAGCCATCTGGCAGTGATCTCTCTGTGTACAAGACTCTGAGCTCCTGAGAGAGGCTCCTATTGGCTCAGCTTCTCCTCCTGAGCCTGGCCACACTGCCCCAGGCTCCTGCCTAGCCTAGAGATGGGTCCCCCTTGGGTCAGGCACACCACACCCTGGGCTGGTCAGCAGTGTCAGGGGGCAGGGTCACCAGATTTCGTCCCCACCTACCAGGGGCTGTGGATGAGGTTGGGATCCCTGAGAAGGGGTTTTGTGGGGACAGGAGTTACCAGGTACATGTGGCACAAGAACTGTATGATAGAACCCCTCAAAGTAATTTATATCAGCGAGGTGATCTTAAATTTGTTTCAGCCTACAAATAGGAAGCCATAGTTTATAAAACTGTTTCTAGTCACCTCTGCATTAATTCAAGGGTGTACATCTCTGAAGTGATAAATTTAGTATCTTCCAGCCATACTAAACATGGCATGAAAATTAAACTTTCAGTCCACATGTTCATTTTCTTTGTACATTAGGGGGCAGGCATGGACTTGGTTGATTCTGAACAAAATCATCTTGGTGCATAAAATGGAGAATGGGAACTAGACTTGTTTTTCCAGCCATGAAGACTTTTTTGATAATGGGGTTTGAGACATGCGTCTCACAAAATTGAGCGTCCTTTGTGATCTTCTCTACCAGGGCAGTGCCTGGCAGAGGGCAGACCCTGAATCCAGCTCAGAACTTTGTGAGGAGGCAGAAAAGTGCTGATGCCCTCCCCCCATGAGAGCCGCTTGCCTGTCTCCAAGCTCTGTGGCTGCTGATGCCACATGCCTACATCCCTTGCAGTCTTTACTCATAAAACTGGCTATTAATACATTTTCCTGGAGTGTGTGAAAACGGGCTTAGAATGGGGGAAAAAAAACTTGTCCCACTTTTATACAACTGGAAAACATTACAGAACTTGAATTTTTCAAATTAAAAAAAAAAAAAAAAAAAGCAACCTACCAAATCCAGCCTGTGCTTCTTAGTCACACGGAAATGTGAAGAGGAAGGGAAAGTCACTTCTGCCTCACAGGTGGTTTTGATTTAGAAAATGTGCCTCGAAATTCAGTACAGAAAAGAGGTTTTGTTTTGCTTCTAATAAAAATAAAACTACTTTTGAATGTTTCAGGGTTCATCAAAGTTTACATTTAGTCTTTTTTACATTTTTGTCTACCTGGCTATTCTCATGATCTCTCCAGCTACCGAGCCAATCAATGTATATTGTGGGAAACTCTCATCTTCCCCCCAATCCGAAGTAGGTGGGATCCAGTTCTGACAACACGCATTAATCATAACTAGAAATGCTGGCAAGAGCTGGGGATGTTTGCATTCCTCAGGGACAGCTTAGCATCTCCAGCTAAATATTTCAGCCCGACTGACTGCCTTCTCTGGGCTTTCCTTCCCCAAACATCCTCCTCCGTAAGGCAGAGGAGCCAAATGCAAAGTGTTGGGTCCCTAATAATTTACAAAGTGAGGATAATACTTTAAAATTCTTGGCCTTGAGAGGCACCTGGGTGGCTCAGTTGGCTAAGCCTCCAATTCTTGGTTTCAGCTCAGGTCATGATCTCACAGTTTGCGGGTTCGAATCCTGCATCAGGCACTGACAGCATGGAGCCTGCTAAGATTCTCTCTCCCTCTCTCTGCGCGTCCCCACTCATGCTCCCTCCCTCTCTCTCTCTCTCTCTCTCTCTCTCTTTCTCTCTCTTTCCCCCTCTCAAAATAAATAAACTTTAAAAAGATAAAAAAAAAAAAAAGTTGGCCTTGAGCTATCATTGGTATTCAGTAATATACTGCTATATTTTCTGTTCTTCCTTACAGAATTGTACAGCAGCAATATGACTATGTTTGCCCTCAAAATCCAGGCATATCACTTTTAAAAGAAATATTGGGGGTCAGATTGCCAAATTCCTACAATTTCCATATTAAGAACTCCATCTCTGTGGCCTCCAGCTGAGACAGGTTGTTAAAAGGATGAAAGAAAAAAATGCCTTCCCCTTGTGTCCCCTCTTTAGAATAAGAAAATCTACTTGGACATTATTCACACGTACATGGAAGTGCATGCGACCGTTTATGGCTCCAGCACGAAGAATATTCCCAGTTATGTGAAAAACCATGGCATCCTAAGTGGGCGGGACCTACAGTTTCTTCTCCGAGAAACCAAGGTAGGTTTATAGGAATTTTTAAAACATCCATCAGTGATGTTTACTGGTTGTTTCTGTTGGTGTTGAAAACAGGATCAGAATCTCTCGTGCTGTCTTTTCAATGCTGTAGTAACTTACGAAGTCATTTCTGGGCAGTGGTTTTCTAGATCAGCTATAGCTTAAAAGTTCGTGAATTGTGGAAAGAGGTTGCTACAGTTGAAAGCCTGCTTACCCAGGACCTACTCCGTGCCAGGCATCAAGCGAGGGGCTGGGGATACAGTGGCAAACAGAAAAGGTAAGGTCCTGTCTTGAGGGTCAGACCTTGCGATAAAGAAGCAGCTTTCACAGCAAGCCTGGGGTGCTCAGCTCTCCTACCTCTTTAATCAACATCGCTCAAGGAATCGGGCCACCAAGTGGCTTTTCTTGCACCTCTTCATTCACAGATTTGTACTGGACCCTGAAGAAGTTCAGATGGAGGAAGAGTCCCTTCAGGCTCTGGGAGCAGGGAAGACACTGTGAAAGATGTGGGAGATGAACAATTGGCGGGTGGGGGGCAGGTGATACCCAGGACACACAAGAAGGAGAGTCAAGTGGTGGAGACAGAGATGACACATTCAGGAGAGAGCCACAAAGCAACCCAGCTGCTCTATTGCTGGGAAATAGTGGAAGGTAACTTTTGGTAAGGAGCTGAGGGGCTGGTTGTCCCAAGCATAGACCCTAGTGTGTAGGCAGCTTCAGACCCCATGATGCAGGCAGCCGGGGGAGCCACTGAGCGAGGTCTATTTTAGTGACATGCTGAATGCGTTGTTTTGAACCGGCGCCTGTAATTCTGCCATGAAAGTACAAAATGATGTTAGGGACTTGCAAATAAACCAGAGTTTGGCCTTAAAGGGCCAGACCTAGTGCAAGGGATGTAAGAGTAAGAAAGCCAGTGTGAGCCCTGCCTTGAAGCATAGGGACAGCTTATTACCAACAGTGATTTTCTCAGTTCTGGGCCTTGACTGGCTGTGTTTTCATTTTTAAGGTAGCAGGGAGGCTGAGTGGGTGAGAGGCTCTGTGGCTTAATAGCGACTTTTTATCATTTTATGATACTTGGATTTGGGAGAGCATATTCACATATGCTGCCTTGTTTGATTCTCACAAACAAAGCCGTAGATGGCGAAGGTACTGTTAACTTCATTTTAAACAGCAGAAAGTAGGCTAGAGCATTTGGCTTGCTCACAGTCACTGACTTTGCCTAGACGGGGTGACCCTTACACATGATTTTTTTTTTTATTGCAAATTAAAGGTCTGTTAGGCCCTCAAGGCACCATCCTCCTGAATAAACACCCAAACTGGAGAACATTTATTGGACACTCCCTTCCCAACAGAATAAGCATCTCTCTCCTGCCTCAGTTTCTCCGTATGTAACTGCATTTGATCCTTTCTATCTCAAAGTCATTCGTGTGGTGCCATTAATAAAATAGATGGATGAATTATTTATCTCCTTGGCCAAAGATCTGGTTTGTATTTATTAAGATTTCATTTCCTTACAAGGTCATCTGTAGTCTGATGCTCGTGTGTGGCAACCCCGGAGTGAAGTGTGTTCCCCACTTTGCACTCTTGGCTTTCTGTTCTTTTTCTGTCTCAGGATGACATTTTAGAATCGTGAGGATGTCCAGGCCCTTTAGTGGCAATGCTATTTTTGCCATGTGCCTCATTTTACTTCTCCCCACATCAGCTGGTGGAAAAAGCTCAAGCCTCTTTAAAATTACATTTGGCAACGCTGGCTCTCAACAGCGTGTCATTACTGTCTCGCGCACTCCTATTAACCCAGTCTCGTGAATGTCTTACTCAGCCTTGGAAGTTTTAAAAGAACCCTGACTTACCTACCATCCATTTACCCTGTCAGAGAATGGGGAATAGGCCGAAGCAGAGGCTGCTGATATCCCAGGGAGGAAAAGAGAAGAGGCTTGGAATATCCGGGCTGTGATGTCAGAGACTGCCTAACAGCCAAGGACTGCAGACCGAATTTTGAGTGTGAGGGGCATATATTTATCCTTGAAAACCGGGTGCCTTCACAGGATGTCACTGATCCCATTTTGTATTGCCTGTTCATCTGACTAGAATATATTAAAGCCCTCCGAGTGGAATTATGGCTAAAACAGTTGGCAAATATGATGGAAATGAGGCGCTGTGTCGCCGAGACTCCCCTTATACCCAGAACACAGCAGCAGGCACTAAAATGAATGGATCTTGGGCTTTGAAATAATGACACTAAAGACCAGTCAGGCTTTGCATTTATAACCCTTTCTGCCTCTAACTCCTTCCTCTGTGTCTCTGAGCAATTTAAAAGCGATTTATTCCAATCCATGTTGAAAGTGGAGAACTGGAGACACAGAGAAGTAAATGTCGGTAGAACAAATGGGATTCACACGCTCCTCGGGCTCACTGGAGAGGAAAGCGAGTCTGGTGCTGCTTCAGGTTTGGAGACGGGCTGAACTGACTGATGTTTAATCAGCTCCTCACTTATTATTTTTCTTTATGAGACGTCTTTGAAGCCCTGCACCCAGGCCCAGGAAACCGTTTGCTCAGCAGTATTTTGCCCTGGCATGCCACAGGGGCCCATGTGTCATCAGCAGAGTCCGGCTGCCGGGAGCCTATGAAGATGGAGGAATTTGGTGTGACACTAAAAAGGGGCTAAAAGAGCCAGGGAGTTGTTGAATCTAAAAGACTCTTCTAACAGGCATATAAATTTGGATGCATTAATTATTTATCGGCAGACTATAGACAAGGCTTTCAGTCCAGCAGACTCCGGGAGTGCAGTTGAAGCCAGCACAGGGGGTGGCATGTTTTTATTTTGGGGTTAAGTCCTCATCGCTTTTGATGTGATTTCTTTCTTCTTCCTAATTTTAGCCTCTTCATGTCCACCTCCTCCCCAGTCTTAGCATGGGAAGCTCCTGATAGTATGGAGCATTCCTATCCTGTATTAGATTGGAGGCACATTTGGAGTGAGCCGCAAGAGAACGTATTTTTCTACAGTAAAAGCCGAGAGCAAATTCTGGCTGTGGCAAACAAGCAGGGAAAGCCACTGCTGTCTGTGGTGTTACCCTTGGTACCCAGACCTCTGGCCATTCACCCTCCAGCACTTGGGTGGGTCATGACCTGTTTCCCTAATCTATCAGCTCATCAGCTTAGCTGTGGAACTCACTTAGAAGCCTGGGCAGGATTGGAGGAGATGCAGTATATGCTGTCCCTTTTCCATCCCATCCCCAGCTCTGGCACCCACCTCCCCCACCCCCATCAACCATGACTTTTCCCATGAGCTTGGATATAGTTGCCCAGTCTCTCAAGAATCCAGGGCTACCACCCCTGGAACCAGACTCTCATGCAGTTCCATGATGGCAGAGGGGCTTTGCTTGTTCTGTTTACAAGTACATCTTCAATGTCTAGAACAGTGCCTAGCTTGTAGAAGGCTTTCAGATAATTATATAAAGAATGAAGGAAAGAGTCAAGATGAAATCCGTTAGCCATCTGGGATCTTGGGACCATGCCCGAAAAACTGAGTTCTTGCTTTGCTCATGAATCATGCACCTAAATCTCCAAGACTTCCACAGCAAGCGACGCTGTCCTTCTGACACTGCACGCCTGCCTCTCCGTGGTATTGCCTACACATCACACAGGTGTCGCCTGTGAGGGAGAGCCCAAGGGCTTACTTACCGACAGAGCAGTCCACCCGTCTCAGATGCTGAAATATTCACCCTCAGACAGTCAAGGAGGCTTCATCTTATGTCCAGTATCTAAGGTTATTCCTATTCCAGCCAGATGGGGAAAACATTTTGTATACACATGTAATCCTCTCTCCCTCTTTCCCTCCCACGTATGTATGTACAATTGCACAGTTGTAGCGAGATGATTCAGTACTTGCTCTGACTTCAAGGACAAAAGTGCATCCGCACACTCAAATACACACGAAAACATTCAACATCTCTTCATCCTCATGAAGACACATGACTGCTGGAAAGATCTCATCTATTAGTATTTATTCTTTTGCTCATTTTCCCTACTGAATACATTCCAGGCCTCATTCCAGGCATTCTTGCTACAGGGATGACTAAGGAGTTTTGCCCAAGACGAGCGTACAGGCATGGTAGAGGAGACCAGCACAGAAACTGGGGACTATAGCAATGCAAAAAGTGCACAGGTAGAGGTAGTAATAATAAAAAATAGTAATACCGACATAGAACTTCTGGGATATTATAAGCAGGCTCAACCATTTAGTTGTGTAAAATGTTGCACCGTGACTTGTGAAGCCACTCACATAAGAGGATGAGCCTGCTCCTGGAGGACAGGAACTGATTATCAGCCACATTTTAACACAGCGCATCTGTGTCATCATGGTGCACATGACCGTGGGGATTTATTATGGCAGTGACAGCCATTTTCTCTCACCCTCACCTGTGCCTTCTCCATGAATTATCTCTTATCGTGAAAGTCCTCTGTGCTCAGTACTATGAGAGCCCATCCTTAATGTGACGTGAATAGGCCTGTTGTGCTGCCTCGCACCTTCTAATGGTAAACATTTCATGCTGTCATGGCGGAAGATGGACAACATCCACAGTTATCAGTTTACCCAAATATTTGCTTACCCCCCCCCGCCACCACCATCTCCATCTCCAAGTCAGTGCATGTATAGTGAATTGTAGCACATTGGATTATGAACTGGGGTTTCCAAATGACTGAAGTGTATGAACTTTTGGTTTTGATATTGTGGTTTGTGTTTGGTTGTGTTCTGTTTCATTTCTGAAAGGCTACTTAGAAAACAAGGATAATCTGGGTGTCTACCCAGTGAGCTGGTCTCCAGGAAATAGCCTCTGACATAGCAGCTGACTCTGACAAACTTTGGGCACTTAAACATACTTGACACATATCGTTGTCTTGTCTCCTTTGCCTTTATACCTCTTCACAAGAGAATCTTTTTGTAGTTTAGGTTAGGGGCTTGGGCAGCCCATGAGAAGGTGTAACCAAACCTGTATGGAAGAGATTTTGGCCACTGTTGTTTCTTCATCATCAAGTACAAAAGGGAAGACACATGTCCAGAAAAGGACCCTTCAGGCCACTTGAAGGCATAACCTCTCAGGAGAATACATTTCCTCCACAATCAGCCATTGTATGGATTCTTTTTAAAGATATAAAATGTATACCTATTACCAAAAATCCGGGGATTTCCAATCATTATATGAAGAATAAACAAGGCTTAGCAGTCATACATGCTCATGGGACTGGCCTTTCCATGAGGCAGTCACTGTAAACCATGTCTGCTTCCTCTTCTAATGGCCGTCTCTCCCTTTTTTTCTAAAAAGTCCAGCTACTTTATGAAACAGTGAGAATTCGTAAATACACATGCAGGTGCTGAATATTGTGTAAAACCCACAACCACAACTCGGGCACACCTAAACCCCAGCTAAACAATACAAGGTCACGTACATGCAGCTGCATGAAGTTGAATCTGGTTTTGAATTTGGACCACTGTTCAGTGAACGTTTACTTCAGTTCCAAACCTTGAAATACATCATGTGCATGAAATACCTCATTTAAGCCTCACACCTGCCCCATGAAGTAACTATTATTTTCACCATTTTACATATGAATAAACAGTGTAGAGAGCTTGCGTGACCTTGACTCCGGTCCCATAGCTGGAGAGAATGTTATAAATGGACCTCCGATAATCCATAGGAAGTGGCAGGTAATGCTTTCCCTCAGTTACAGAGCTAGGAAGTGAGCTGGTCAGGATTTGAACTTTGGTCTGCAGTTAGACCCCATACAGTTAGTTACCGCATTGTCCCGATCACTGGGCCAATATTCAGTTTATTGGATAAGCTGAGATTGATTCGTTGCTCAAACTCCCTCCCGAGCCACTCCGCCAATTTAGCTAGTTCAAACTAGTCAGAAAAGCTTATGTTGAGAGTGTGTCTTCTATTTTGGATTATCCTGCTGTTCCCCATCAAGAGTGACTGGAAACTGGCTAAACCCATGTAGAGTCTTCCTATGAGCCACCTTTATCCATGTTGAAAGGAGTCCATGTTAACTACTCCAGTTAAGGGTTTAAAACAATTGTTTCTCCTTTCACACAGAGTAATAAGACTGAGTGGTTTTACTGAACCGTTTGTCAACATGTAGGAATGTCCCAATCCTATGCTGTGAATAAAATCTGTGGTGCTCCATCCATTCTCTTTTAATAGTACTTCAAAAACTTAATTTCAGAGCATTTAATCCCTGGATTTAGAACTGCTTATTGAGGGACCTGGGCGGCTCAGTCGATTGAGTGTCCGACTTCGGCTCAGGTCATGATCTCACGGCTCGTGAGTGGAGCCCCGTGTCGGGCTCTGTGCTGACAGCTCAGAGCCTGGAGCCTGCTTCAGATTCTGTCTCCTTCTCTCTCTCTGCCCCTCCCCTGCTTGATCTCTCTGTCTCTCTGTCTCTATCTCAAATGTAAAAAAGTAAACATTAAAAAATGTAAAAAAAAAAAAAAAATGCTTACGGATGGGACAGAGTTGCAGCCGTGAAGATGTTCTGTCATCTGGAATATCCTCATTAGATTCTGGGCTTCTGCAGGCCAGATGAAGTATAAATAAAATATGCCCAGTTTCCTCCTGAAAAGTTAAGCCTCTGTGCTTGAATGCATTCTTAATGGTGTGTCTGTTGCCCCCATGCTAAAGATATCTGTAGGGAGCACAATGGAAGCTGGGGACTAGGGGAAAGGAAATTTACTGTGGTAAAGGCACCAGTGTGGCAAGGCCATGGCATTCAGAAGTTTGCGGGATGTTCTTTGGTGGTGATGAACTCTCTCTGCCTATGCTTTTGTGATTCAAACCTCAAGTGTGTTATTTGACCTTAATACATCTGCTCCATTATAACGTCACAGGTAATGAGTACACGGGAAGCAAGAAAAAATTGCTTATTGACAGAAGTGACAAAGAACTGTTATTTTGGTGTTTCCAAGTCTTGCATTTCCTGCAATCCTAATTAGTGTGACGAGAAAACTCGTTGCCAAGAAATTGTATGGTATTTGCTTAAGCTTCATTCTAAAATTGTGAGGCTTTGGAGAGTTAGCCCAAAATGTTTACTTTATGTGTCCTGAGATATTTTGATGCCAGCAGGGCAGCAAAGATGGTGCAAATTGTTATTCAGATATCATTAAGCCTAGGTCACATTCAAGTCCATTAAACAACAGCTTCAAATCTTTTTAATTAATGGGTTCAGATTGGTTGGTCTGAAGGAGCTAATTACATTTTTTTCCCAGGATTTTCTATTTAAATAGACAATCATTGTGCTTCCTGCATTTCTTCCAAAGTTCTTTGCAATTTAGAGTTGATGAAGGTATCAGCACTTTATGGCAGGCCCTGATTTTCAGAGGTCAGGACTCACTGTAGGCTCAGGTCTCTGGCTAAACCCACAGAGACCCCTGTCTGCATGTTCCAGCACCTTTCTTCTCAGAGTCAAAAGGATCTGGAAACCCTGTGTTTTCCTGTACCCAACCACCATCTGAGAGAGGTCATCTTTCCCCTGGGGAGATCTTTCCCAAATTCTGATAGGGAGCAGATCACAGAGCTCAAAAGCCTGAAGGATGGTAACCCTGGATTCTTCATATTTAACAAAGCTGTGATCTCTTGGGACTAGTCCTTCCCACTCTTGCCTTCCATTTCTCCTGCTGCTGTCAGGCGTCCGCCCCCCATTCCCACCCCTGAGCCACATGCTCAGGCCACACCCTGTATGCTTAAGTTCTCTTTGATAATCTCACTCCTTTCAGCTACTTAGTAAGAATAAAGAACATCCAGAAAAAGGGCCTCCAGATGGTGGTGGAAATGCCCCTTAAATCCTCTATCTTCCAGGCTCCTGCTAACAAAGTGTTCCTCACCCCCATGTCTCCAGTGGATCTGCCCAAGGGGAAATGCCCCCAGCCAATAGTGGGAGCTCTGCTGGCCACTCAGAGCCTCTCTCCCCAGTTTACCCAGTGGATGTCCCTGATGGTATATTTGGTCATGTCAAGGTTTACAAGAAACAAAAGGATAAAACAAGCAAAAAAAAAAAAAAAAAAAAAAAGTTAACTACCCTGTTTCGTGCAAAAAACCATACAGTCATAGGATAGGGAGTCTAGCCACAAAACCTGGGATTTTGTTTCTTGTCCCAGAAAAACTCCTGTGGGGGCTCCGTGATTCTCCTGTATGCCCAGCAGGTGCCAGCTCAGTGTTCAGTCCTGGAATTGAGTGCCCAGCACATACTTTCTGCATCTCTCAGTGGTGCCCAGGGAACCTGGCAGCTTGGACTCCAGTCTCCCCAGACAGAACCATTCTAAGTAACAGTTGATTTTAGCAGCTGCAAAAGATAGAATTGTTGGGGAGAGGGCCCCAGGAAAGGAGAATCAGGCATGCGATATATCCAGTTCACCAATATCCTTCCCTCTCGGGGGGGCCTGGCTGTGTGGGTGTTCCTCAGTGATGGCAGAAGGAACGATACCCTGGGGCCCAGTTATCCTTTGGCGATTGATATGCCCTTCCTTGGAGGCTGGAGTGATCTCAGCATTGGCTCCTTGGTGTGGTAGGGAGATCTCAAATCTCACCAAGCCCAGACTTGGACCCTGCCGTCGATAACTTACAGCCCTCCAGCAGTGTAAAAGGTCCCGAGAGGGGGAGATGCAGTGAGGCATTTCCCTGAGATGCCGTTTCATTTTTGGACCCAGGAACCATTGCCAGGGAGCTGCAGCAAGGCCCTTTTGTCCCAGCAGCTCTGAGCTAGTTTGCGCGAGGACTTAAGAGTGTGTTTTTGCCGCCATCTATTGTCTGCCATTGGGAAAGCAGACTGCTGGCTGCCCATTTAGCCACTCAGCACCCTCTCCCCTCGACTGAGGGGGGAGATAAAAACAAAGTTGTTGGTGTCCCCCAGTGAAAACCCCATTATGAAAACCTGTGTTTACTGACCTACCATCATTTTAAAGCAGCTCCGTTTGAACTGTAATCAAACCACCAAGTGACCTTTCTGTCCCTCCACCCAGCATCACTGAAAGGGCCTGTTGTTCCTTTGCTTCAATGAAGAAACCTTCTGTTTAGTTAAGCAAGTGTTTTTCCAGTCATGTCTCCTGGTGAGTTACAGAAAGATTATTGTTGGGTCTTGGTTTTTGTTGTTGTTTTTTATTCTTTTAATACCCCCACCTCCGTACCTCCTCAACCGCCCACCTCCCCCGCAGTCCCCTCCACGCGTATTTCTTCACTTTTGTTTTGTTTTTGTTTTTGTTTTTACAAAGGAGGAGAACATAATGAGCTGAGCAGCTTCATGATCCCGTAAAGGACTCTGGTACTGTTTTGCAGTTCCTGATGTGAGCTGCCTTCTCTTCACCACCACTACCCCCCATCCCCGCCCAGGGTCTGGGAACCTTCCAGAGTCTCTGGGCCTTCCACATGGGAATGAAGCACAGAAGAGCCCCCTGTGAGCCAGGGACGCCAGTCCTGACTGATGTGTTTATATGTGGTGTGCTTTTCTGTGTTACAGTTGTTTGTTGGACTCGGGTTCCCTTATGAGGGCCCAGCTCCCCTGGAGGCCATCGCAAATGGATGTGCTTTTCTGAATCCCAAGTTCAGCCCACCCAAAAGCAGCAAAAACACAGACTTTTTCATTGGCAAGCCAACACTGAGAGAGGTAAGCATCTATCAAAACAATCATTCTACTTTCAACAATATGAATACCAGCTACTTACTGAGTGCTAGGAGCCCATTCAGATCCCCTAACGTTGGGCTGTTGGTATCATCAACCTCACTGGACATAGTTGGATGGAAGGAGGAGGCGGAGGATGGGCAGGGGCTCAGGGAGGAATGGCCGATGCTGTCTCCTAACTTGGTGTTGGCACAGCCAGGACTTGCATCCAATTCTGTCCCTCTGTGAACTGTGGCGTCTTTCCACTCTGCCTCAGCCCTCTCCTAAGGCACGCAGACATCTCCAGCCTTCTAAGTAACTGAGCTCTGACTTTCTGAATGTTTAGAATTTTTTGAATAAAGACATCAACTGGCTAATGTGTATTTTTGCAGAACCAGCTCCCACGATAGGCTGTGGGGAATAAAGGGTGGGTAGTGGAGTCCTTAACTGTCAACCTTGAGAGACTGAAGTCATGTGCCTGGTATTTTAGGCCACCATCAGGAGGCACCGTTCTGATGCTTGAACTGTTTGCAGAAGCCTTATTTGAATTGCTTTCAGAGATCCTCATGAAAATCCATAGTGGGTGATGAATCACCACTGAAGGCAGTTGGATTCGATTTGGGGCAATAAACAAGTCATTTAGAGCATGTGAGTTATCAAGCTGGGTGTTTCTGTATCTAGTCAGAAACAGGTGTGTGCAAGAAACCGTAAGATTGATTTTCTTATTATTTCTGTGGCTCTGTGGGCTGCTCACGAGGAGGAAACCTCTATGAGCTAGAGTCCTTGGATTGCCCCTGTCATTTGGGGCTTTCTACTGGGGGACGACACAGGTGGAAACCCATGACATAGATGCAATATAGCAGCACTATTATTTTTTTTAAGATTTTTAAATTTTTTTATATGTTTACTTATTTTTGAGAGAAGGAAACAGAGCGTGATTGGGAGAGGGGTAGAGAGAGAAGGAGACAAAGAATCAAAAGCAGGATTCAGGCTCTGAGCTGTCAGTACAGAGGTGCAGGGCTTGAACCCACGAACCATGAGATGGTGACCTGAGCCAAAGTCAGACGTTTAACCGACTGAGCCACCCAGGCACCCCAGTAGCGCTGTTATTAAAGCATGCGTTTTTCACTTCTGCTACTTTTAAACCTTTCCGGGTAGATTCTTCTGACACCTCCCCCACCACACACACCAAAAAAAAAAGAAAGAACATGAAATGCATTTTCCATGCTTATTGTTTTTGATCAGTCAGAGATCTTACCAATTCACCGAGCTGATTATTTTGAGAGTTCTCTTTTCTGACCCTCCCTGTCAGTCAGGGTGACAGTCCCAAAGGGGATGGAGGAAGAGATCCATAGGTTTTTGCGATCTACAGATTATCCTCAAAAAGAACCTGTTGCCCACACAACCTCTGAAAAGGGTTAACTGTGTGTGTGTCGTCTTGCATACTTGCTTTTCCTTCTGCTAATAAAATAAATTTGAATTCTTCACATTGAGGAGTTGTTCCTGTTGGGGAAGTCATTCCTCAGCAATACCTACTGCACACCTGTGTGCCAGGTGTTGTGGGAGGGGCCAGGGCACAGACCAGGAGCATTCAACCTGTCACTGAAGAGCTGATTCTTGGAAAGATTCGAGAAGATGTTCCGTGGCAGTGAGAACATCTCAATCTAGGAATCTCTGTAACTGACAGAGATGTAACTGACTTCTCTGGAAACTTTGGAGTTTGGGATAGAAAACTTAGGCTGATAACTTCAGCTCAGGTCATGATCTCACGATTCATGGTTTCAAGCCCTGCCTCGGAGTCTGTGCTGACAGCTCAGAGGCTGGAGCCTGCTTCGGATTCATATTTTCTCTCTCTCTCTCTCTCTCTCTCTCTCTCTCTCTCTCTCCCCGCCCTTCCCCTGCTCGTGCTCTCTCTCTCTCTCTCAAAAATAAATAGATGTGAAAAAAGTTAAAAAAAAAAAAAAAAGAAAATTTGGGCTGATAAATCATGCCCACATTTTAATTTAAGTGTAAGAAATCTCTGAAGTTCTTCTGCCCACCTTGTAATAATTATTTGTAATTTTGTTTCTTTTTTTCCCCTTTTTTTGGGATTAAACATACATAATTTAAAACTTAGCATTTTAACCATTTTAAGTGCACAGTTCACTCGTGTTAAGTATGTTCAAAGTCTTGTGCAGCCATTGCCACCACCTACCTGCAGAACTTACTCATCATTCTAAACAGAAACTGTGTTCATTAAGCACAACTCCCCATTCTCCCCTCCCCACAGCCCCTGGTAACTTCTCTTCTATTTTCTGTCTCTCTAAACTTACCAAGTGAAATCATATAGTATTTGTTCTCTTGTGACTGGCTTGTTTCACTTAGCTTAAGGTTTTTAGGGTTCATAGCATGTGTCAGAATACCATTCCTTTTAGCGGCCAGATGATATTCCATTGTGTAGATATACCACATTTAATTACTTGTCTGTTCATCTGTTAATGAACACTTGGGTTGTTTACACTTTTTGTCTGTTGTGAATAATGCTGCTGCGAACATTTGTGTACAGGTATCTGCCGAGGTTCTTTTAATTCTTTGGGGCATATACCTACAAGTGGAATTATTGGAATTTACTTTTTGTTTTGAAATAATTTTAGTCTTATGGAAAAGTTTCAAAAATAGTACAGAGTTTGGGTATATCCTTCATTCAGCTTCCCCTAATGGCAACACATTACAAAACTATGGTAATCAAAGCTAAGACATTAACCAGTGTTACCTTAACTACAAACTCGATTTGGACTTCACCATTTTTTCCACTAATATCCCTTTGCTCTTTTGGGATCCAATCCAGGACCTACATTGCATTTAATTGCCACGGCTCCTAATCTCTTCCAATCTGGACAATTGTTCAGTAACTTAATTGTCATTCAGTTTTAACACTTTGAAAGAGTACTCGTTGGGCTTTTTGTATACTGTTGCTCACTTTGGATTTGACTGATGTTGTCTCATGGTTAGTTTGAGATGACGCATTTTTGGCAAGAATATCACAGAAGTGTTGTGGTCTTCTCAGTGTATCATATCAGGAGGTGTGTGATACCAATATGTCTCATTCCTGATGGTGTTAACCTTGATCTCTTGGTTAAGGTAGGGTCTGCTAGGTGTCTTTACTATGAAGTTACTGGTTCTCTCTATAATGGAAAAAACATTTTGAAAGTATGCAAATATTCTGGTTTTCTTCAACCTTTTGCCCATTTATTTTTACGATATGTTGGTTGGTCTTGCCTACAACAGTTATTCTGGTGGTTCTGTAGTGATTTTCTTTTTCCCTCATTGTGATTTCTTTTTCCCTCATTGTGATTCTTTTTACTGCTATTTCTATATATGAGCCTTTGGACAGTGATAAATCAAAAGCATCTTTACGACTATATTGACAACTGGCACCTTTTTGTTACTGGTGATTCTAAAGATTTTGATGACTCTTTGCTACAAATGAGTATTTTTTCCTGAAAAAAATTTAGGACACTCAAGCACAATCTGTTTCCCAGTGAATGATGTAATGTCACATAGATCAGAGCAGCCAGTATGAAATTATTGAAGAACAAATGTTCATCATTTCCGATCAGTTGTCATCATTTAGTAATTTGCTTTTCATTGAGATCATGAAGGGCTTTGATTTTTCATGGCTTAAAGAGAATAGGCATAAGAGCTGCCCCCACCAGGCGCTTGGTCCCTCCCATCCCTTTAGATAATTCCACCAGTACGTAAATGAGACTCGAGTTAGAATGGCTCTCTGGGATCCTCAGCCATTGCTCAGCAAGTGACTTCACACAGATGACTCCATCAGTCCTGGGCTTCCGCAGGAGGGCCGGGATACAGAAGGTCAGTTGACAGATGCTCGTTGTGTCCCCACAGGGTCCATGGTACTAGTTGCTGCATTGGGGAAATTTATCAAGACCCATTTCCTGTTTTCCAGGAGCTCAAATTTTGATATGGAAAGAAACAGCTAAGTCAGTCACTGAGAGGGTGTTGCCTGGGAGTTCTGCCAAGTGGAGAGTGTGCTGGGTTAACTGAAAAGGAGGTGGTGCAGGAACTGTGCTATAAAGGCAAAGGAGGAAAGGGGTTTCACGCTTAAGAGGCATGAATGTTGATGAGCTGCAGGGAAATCCCAAGAAGGTCACTTTGCTTTATGCAGGAGGGCAGGTTCCATCCGATGTCTGTCTCCTTCTCTGCTAGAGACAGTGCAGAGAGCAGGCTGGGAGCCAGCAACATCACACAGTTTTGGGAGGACTCAGTGAAGTTGACCTCAAGGCCTGGTGGGCCACTCACTCTGCTCTTTCAGCCCACAAAAGCCACAAAAACCCCCTGGCCAAAGCTACTTTTCACAGGGAGAGAGCTATCGAGAGTTCTATAGATGTTGAAGGGTCAAAAATCTCTAGAAATTATTTTATTTTTTTTTTTTACTCTGCAAATGGAAAAATTTTAACCCAAGTAGACATAATTACAAAGCAATTTTTTGGCTCCCTTGCTAGTCTTTCCAGTTAAGCAAAAATTGATCCGTATAAATCAATCCATATAAATTGCATATATGTCCCTCCTTTGCTTTGAAGAGAAAAAAAGTCTAAGTTTCTAAATGAGAGTTTCATTTTATTTTTGTCTTTTACATTGGATCAATTTTTAAAACCACGATGTACACTCGAGGGAAAAAGTTCCATAACGCCTTAAGTAATATTGTTGGTTCAAGCCATACTTTCAATGTGATATAAATTGGATTTTTATCTTTATACTGGGAAACACATTAGTAGGTTCTTAATCATTATTTGGACATTTTGTAAACCATTAGAAATTCTCTGGCTTCAGGATTTTTTTCCATAAAGAGAACTCATGTTCTCCTTAGAAATTTAATAGCCACTCTGAAGTAATGTCTCATATTTAATAAGATTTTCATTACTTTTACAAACTATACTCCAGTAAATTTACTGATTGATGTAGCTCAGATCAGACGGTTCTCAATAAATTAATGGGGAGGAGCATAACATTCAGAGGGGAATAATGAATCACAAAACGCCTTACTCATAAAATTAAGTAACTCTCAATAAATGTAAATGAATAAAATAATAAAGCCTCGGCATTTTGTATTTTCCAAGTGCTTGGAGCAACCTTGCAAAAAAAAAAAAAAAAAAAAAACAGGGACCTTATCAAGGGGAGGGGGCGAGAGACTCCAATATGTAAATGGCTGCATAGGGACATTGACAGCAACTTTAATTTACCCTGATTCCATTGGAAGAAGTCATCAGTTTGTTCTCCAGGCCACCAAGTGAAATGTTGTGACGTTTTGCTCATCTTCAGGAAAGGTCTAATTCAGGCATAAATTCAGTCCTGAGGTGTTTTTTTCAGGTTGGCAAGTTTTAAGAGCGGATTAAAAGCCTGGAGCTTACTTTGAGCTTCATTTGGTCTTTGCTTAAGAACCCAATAAATACTTTAAATTTGTCGTCTTCCTTTCTGTCAAAAGCTAATATGTTGTTGAAGGATCTAGATTTGAATTTGCTCTGCTGCTTCCTGGCACTGTGGTCTTGCAGAATTGTAAACCACTGTAAATCTCAAAATCCTCATTGATACCCCGGAAACCTGGTAAATTATACAGATGCAGGTGATTAGCACAGTGCCTGGGCCAGCCAGGGGCTTCATTGATAGGTGTTGAATCTAAAATGTGAGCTGAGGGAAAAAAAGAAAAATGGATGCTTCCAGGCCTATGAGGCCACGGTCATCTTGTAGGTTCTATCACTGACCATGTGGCTGAGCAAAAGAAGAGGGTACCGGTCAGAAGAAAGGGGAACGTAACAGGCCAGCAAGGGGCATGATTCTGACAGAGGAGGCAGGAGCAGAGTCTAGGATATCTTCTCTTCAGAATCATGCTTTTCTTGAGAGGATGCCGCTGACGGCTGGGGGCTGAGGCCTGGTGACCTATATTCTGAGTTCCCTGCCCTAAGTAGTGTGGGCACACAAGTGGTGAGGTGGGATACGAAGAATGGCGGCTAGGAGTGAGATGGAGAGAGGCCAGTTAAATCACCCCATCCTCTGAGGATACCAGAGACAGAAGAAAGAAAGAGAACCAGCTTAGCCTCTAAACCAAGAGCCTCAACCCTACCAGACCCAGCCCCTGTTTCTACTACAAATATATTATAACATCCACTCTTGTGTCCTGAAACAAAATTAATAAATAATATGCCCTGCCTACTTATGTAATTTCAAAAAAGAATGATTCCCTTAACTCTACTATAAAGGAAAATCATTCACAATAAGGAAATACATATTTCAGTCTGTAAGTAGTTAAGAAGTATACCATTCCCAAGAACTATAGTAGAAAACATGTCTCATCCCTCCTTAGAATGAGTAAGTTTATGTCTGAGAAGAGTAAAATATACAGCTGAACATGATTAGCCCTTTTTGCTTATAAGTGATATTATAAAGGAGAAGCCAAGTTAAAAAGTGTCTATACATACGTAAGTATATATGTAATTGCCGTTTATGTGAGAGCTACAAACACAGACTGGTTTTGGGTATGTTGTAATGGAGAAACAGGTAATCTGAGTGACATTGACTTTACTGCCCTAGTTTTTCCAAAGTTGGTAACAGCTTATTGGTGAAGTTCCAATGAAAACAGAGTACAAACATCCCTTGATTTACATGGTAATTATGTTCCTGGGAAATTCAATCTATATTAAAACTGTGCCAAAGAGTTAGATTCTGTGAACCCACATGAAAGCCAGCGGGGCACATGGAAGCTGTACGGGAAGTGGATGGCCTGCCTTGGGCAGGACTGTAACCCATAGTGAGGCATCATCTACACTCCCTGGTCCTCACCCACGGATTCACAGATCAAGGGTAGCACCCCCAGTATTTGTGCAAGCTGAGAATGCTCTCACAAATGTCCAGAAAGCTCCCTTCACCACTGCCTGAAAGGATACAAGAAAAAGGTGGAAGGCAGTTGGAGGGGTAAATTTAGCTGTCAAAGAATGGACTCTTCAAGAACTGAGAATCACCAGCTTTCATACTGGGTTTCTTTGGCCACCTTTGTTCTTAAAATAAAACCTCTGAATTTAGAACTTTGCTGAATCCATATTATCTTTAGAAGTATTGAGTGTCCAGTGTTATGCTAATGATCACTCCTGAAAGCATGTCAAAATTCTCTGTTTTTCTGTAGCCTTATTTCTTTCTGTCACATTTCATATATACAATTACTCACCCTCCTATGACTTTAAAGCTTTTGACTGTATTGTAATTTATTTATGCTTACCTGTCCCAATTGGTGTTTTATAACAGATACTAGTTTGATCTAGGTGATTTTCAGGGCTGGGTTGTGACCAAGAGGGAAATGTTCATTATATCTTGGTGTGACTTTGGGGGTTGAAGCCACCTGTACCAACTGCCGTGTTCCCTGGTTTTGACCTTTTTCCAAGTGGGATTCAAGCTGTGGAGCTCTGACAATTTTGTTGGTCTCCACTTATAGGTCCTCAGGAGGTTTTGATCATCACGGAAGGACAAAAATGTCTTGTTACCTATGCAAGCACAATGCCATAAAAAGCATAACACTTCATCTAGCACAGAAGGTGGAAGAAACAAAAAGTATCTGTGAGACTGAGGTGCTCTTTCTTTTCCAGCTGACATCCCAGCATCCGTATGCTGAAGTGTTCATTGGCCGGCCCCATGTTTGGACGGTTGACCTCAGCAATCAGGAGGAAGTGGAGGATGCCGTGAAAGCAATTTTAAGTCAAAAGGTTGTCTCTTTTATTCCATTTTCCCCCATCTGTACTGTGAACTGAAATGTGTGGGCCTCACAGGCCCTCTGGTTGAGTAATTAGAAGTTTTCCTCGCCAGCTTCCCTCTGGGATGAGAAAAGGGCCATGGTGTAGGATGTGGCCGGGGGAGGGTTCATGAGTGCTCTGGCAGACAGGAGCAGAGCTGGTACTCCTGTGTGGATTCTACAGACCCTTTTGGCATGACTGCTGGGTCCCAGATACAGTAGTAGGATTTGAATTACACTTCTTTTAGTGCCTAATTGTGTACTTCTCACCGAGATTGGAAAACACAAACCTGCTCCCCTACAAAAAGTAAGAATGATAGGAACTATTAAGGAAATACTGGGAAGTGTTTTTATATAACATTTATTTATTTGGTTTTTTTAACCTACACATCTTTTTGTTTAAGTATATTTATTTATTTTGAGAGAGAGAAAGAGCACATGTGTATATGCAAGTCAGGGAGGAGCAGAGAGAAAGGGGGAGGAAGAGAGAATCCCAAGCAAGCTACTTGTTCAGCCCGATACCGGGTTGGATCTTACCAACCATGAGATCTTGACCTGAACTGAAACCAACAGTCAGAAGCTTAACTGACTGAACCACCCAGGTGCCCCCAATTAAGTACCTACCATATACAGAGCACCCATGGAGTCCCTATAGGGGACACTCCTGTAGACAATTGAGGCTAGCTCCCTGCCTGTAGAAGCTCACCACCCAGTAGCAATGGGTCAAATTAGCCTCTCCCAACCCCTAGACTGCCTTGGACGCTCTTCGGGTGCACCCCGCTATCTGGACTCCTCCTTCCAGGCACTGCTTACACTCTGTCACAGAGAAGCATATAGACATGGCTGTACTGAAGACAGGCTGGAACGCTTGAGTTGAGGTTCCAGCTCTACCACCTACTTGTAGCATCCCCTAGGGCAGTTACTTAATCTCTGAGCCTTAGTTTCTTCATCTCTAAGTAGCCTTGTATTACCTACTATATAGGTATTGGTAAGGATTCAGTGAGATAATGTAAAGCCCTTAAGCATACCATCTACCACATAATAAGTGTTTAGTTGACATTACTAAGTCACTATTACTAATACATATATAATCATCTTATGTTTGTTACCAACAGTCTGGATTTGCGCTAGACTGTCAGCAACATGAGGACAGAAATTCTCTCTCACTGCTGTACTCTGTACCCAGTATAGTGATTTACCCTGTGGATTAAGAGAGAGAGGAATAGGTGTTTGCAGACTATGTTCAGTGCCAAAAATAATATGCAAAAGATCAAGAAGCAGAAGTAGGGGGAAGTTTCAGGAAAATGCAGCGCTGAGTTAAGTCTTTTAGGATGAGTAGGAATTTGCAAAGCTAAACCGAGAAGTGGACCCAGATGGGCATGGGTCCAAGGTGCAGTGTGAATAAAGGGGAAGAGGTTGAGTGGAGTGTGGCCCCACTGGGCTACCTCAGAATATCTGCCACACATCCATGGCTCTACCACCAGGGAGTCATTCCTGTGGAGATCGATGGTTCTTTCTTTCTTTCTTGAGTCCCTGAGTCCCTCAGAGGATTAGCTTTTTAGGGCTACCATAGGAAAGAACCACAAACTTGGTGGCTTTAACAACAGAAATTTATTCTCTCACAGTTCTAGAGGCTAGACATCCAAAATTAAGATGTTGGCAAGGTCATGTTCCCTCCAAACAAAGCCTATAGTGGGGGAGTTCTTCCTTGCCTCTCCCACCTTCTGGTGGCCCCAGGCACTCCTTAACTTGCAGCTATAGCACCTCAATCTGTGTGTGTGTGTGCGCGCCTGACTTTCCCATTCTTGGAAGGACATTGGTCATACTGGACTAGGGCCCACTCTAATTCAGTACGACCTCATCTTAACTTGGTTACCTATGCAAAGACCATATTCTCAAATACGGTCACGTTTACAGCTCCTGGGAGTTTGGAATTCAGCATTATCTTTCTGAGGGACATAATTCAACCCACAGCACTTGCTTAAGTGCACATGCTCTTGAAGATGAGTAATTTAAAAGCTAATATAAAGGCAGAAAATATTGGATCATTGTGTACAAACTTTTTAGGTACTAGATCCCTTTTGTCCACCAAATGGGAATGCCTGATACAAAGCACAGAGAGTGAGATACACGGAGTTGTACTTGATCATTCCTACATGAGATTGACTTCACCCCATGGAACCTCTGGTGCTCTACATTTTAAAACCCTGATCAATCTTTTTCCATCTTATTCCAAAAACTATTTAAGATCATATAAGGGGAAAAAAAAGAGTAATTATAATAGTAGCTCTTATGTAGAGAGAACCTTCTACACATCTAGAATCTATCTATATCTATATGAGCCTAGTCTCATTTAAGCTCACTTAATTCTTGTACAGATGAAAAGATTGAGGTTTAAAAAAAATAACTATGAAAAAAAATTAACTATGGGCATCTGGGTGGTTCAGTCAAGTTAAGCATCCAACTTTGACTCAGGTCATGATCTCATGGTTGGTGGGTTCAAGCCCCACACTGGGCTCTGTGCTGACAGCTCAGAGCCTGAAGCCTGCTTCAGATTGTGTGTCTCCCTCTCTCTCTGCCCCTCCCCCACTCACACTCTGTCTCTCTCTCTTTCTCTCTCTCTCAAAAATAAATAAACATTAAAAAAAATTTAAAACAATAAAGAAATAAAGAAATTAAGTAATTTATCCCAGATCACATAGGTAGTAAGTAGTAAAACACCTGGATTGAAACCTAGGTCTTTTTGACTAGTGTGTTAAGATAATATAAAATTTAAAAAGGAGAAGAAACATGGAATGAAGTAAAGGGAAGGATAAGTAAGTTGAGTAAATAAATATCTTTTAAATGAAGGCTGAAGTCAGTAATGAAATTAATACAAAAACTTAGTGCCACAAAAATCCTTATGCTTGTTAGAAATGGGTCAGAAATTTAGTGCCAAGCTTTCTCGTATTTAATTACAAGACTTTAAATTTCATGACATTCAAAAAGTCAAGGTAGCATGACCCACCTAGAGATGACCCAGATGTTGGAATTTATTCAAAAGCAACTTGGAAGTGCTAAGATAAAGTATTAAAAGATTTGTTAAAAAAGGTGGACAGTATATGTGAGCAGATGGGGAATTTCAGCAGAAAGATGGAAACTTTTTCTCAAAGCCAAAGGAAAAAATGCTAGAACTGAAAAATACATCAGAAATGAACAACTCTTTCAGTGGTCTTATCAGCAGAGGAAACTACCAGTGAACTATTCAATAGACTTATCAATAGAAACTATGCAAATTGAAACAAAAAGGGGGTGGGGTGGGGAGAATGAAATTTAAGAAGAACATATGAAACCTGTAGGACAATTTCAGACAGCCCAGTTTATGTGTAATTGGGATCGCAGAAGGAGGAGAGAATGGCCAGAAGAAATACTTGAAAAGATAATGGCTAAGAATTAATGAATGACATCACCCTGCAGGCCCTGGGAGCTCTATGAACCCCAAGCAGGATAAATATTAAGAAAAACACTTAAGTATACATCGTTGCCAAACTGCAGAAAACAAAAAGTTAGGGGGAAAAATCCTGAAAGCAGCCAGAGAAAAAATGTGAAAGCAGCCAGAGGAAAATGTATTACATTTAGGGAGATAAAAATATGAAAGACCACCAATTTCTCATCAGAAGTAATGGAGACCATAAAAAGATCCCTTGGAGGCAGAACGTGTAGGGCCTTTAAAACAGGCCATGACAAGGATTTTGAGCTTTATTTTAAGTATGATGGGAAGTTTTGAGCAGGGGAATGGCATGACCTAGTTGCCATTTGAAATCATCAACAGAAATTGCAGAATATGTCTGATGTAAAATCCTAACGTTAGTAGATAGAGGAGATCATTAGGACTCAACTCCTGGTCTTCTGGTACCTTCTGAGACCATCTCTCATTGAGTGATGCCAACCTGCGTCTGTCAGGTGGGACCATGGTGGGGTCAGCTGATCTCTGAGAGCATTTCCCAGTAGGAACTGTACTCTGACTTAATGAGTGGGTACTAAAGAGACAGTACATCTCAGAAGAAGGGAGGTAAAGAGGAAAAAAGGAAGGAGAAGGTGGGAAGTTATTGGGAAGTTTGTAGCAGGAACTACACAGTGCAGCCTGCAGGCATCCATCCTGTGGCCATATGAAAAGCAGTCCTTTTCCCACAAAGCAGGATGGCCAAGAACACTTCCCCTGTTTCTCCACAACTGGCCCTACTTGGGTTTCTCCAGGTAGGGATGTGGACTGAGCATTCCCTTACATTCTATTCCCCAAAGAGGCCTTGACTTGCTGAAGGATTATCATGCAGAAAATTATCACACGCCCCCTACTCAAATCCACACAATAGCTCCCACATCAAAGGCTTAGCAGTGTTCTTTATATCAAAAGCCAGGAGTCTGGAGAACTTTCCCACACAGAGGGCCCTCCCTGTTCCTGTCCACAGCAGGATGGCTAATGGAACTCACTGGTAGAGCTGGTTTAAGAATACAATTACCCACTTTTTTTTTTTTTTTTTTTTTTTGCTTTGCTTTTCCTGTAGAGGAAAATTATTTGGCTTCATATTATTTAAAATAGTGAATGGGCCACAAAGCAATTAATGAGTCAGCATCCCTTTGGTTAAATTGGGTTAGATTTGTAGGAGGATACAGAAAGAGCCGTTTTTCTGTATTTATTGCATTGAGCCCTTTGAATTAATTCACTTCTATTTCTAATAAATGACCTTTGGAATAAGTTGTAGGAATGGCCCCAGAGTATTCAGCCTGTTTCCCATCACATAATTGGATCTGTTGATGTCATGGCAGATGGCCACTCATGTTTATTTCACTCTAGAAATTCAACTTGTCACCATATAAATGAGCTTGAAATGCCAAGTCTTCTGCTGTAGTTTCTTTCCCTTCCTTCTGTGAGCCTTTAAGAGGAGACATAGCTGTAGGCCAGTCATAGAAAGCTTCTAGAACCACTCATAAATTGAGTAAATAAATATCCTTTAAAAGAAAGGGCTATGAAGGGCTATATCTGGGTCAGAGAGCGCAGAGCAAGTGTAAAAGCTTGAGATGAGAAGTGGCAGGCTTGCAACATGGAAGTCAGTTTTCTAGGTATTTTGAGCTCTTTTGAGGTGATCTATTAAGGAACAAAATGACCTGTGTTCCTGCAGAATAGCTCTGCCTTGATAGTATAATACTTATGGCTCAGCCTCTTTTAGCTCTATCTGGATGGTTGTGGGCAGGAAAGGCTGAGATAAAACCTGTGTGATTTTATGATTGCTGATGTGAAGATATATTATGAAATTAACAGTCATGGTTAAAGAAGATTTCACATATAATGTGTGAATCAACACACACACAAAAGGGGAAAAAGTGCCTTGATACCAGCTGTTTGGCTGCCTGTGGAAGGATGTCTTCTCTGTCAACTGTTCCGTTTTACTCAGGCTTCAACTCTTAAGTGTTTTATCCAGTTCTCCACCCTATAAATTTGAGATAAGCAAGTGTAGATAGACCTAAGTGGGAGATAGTGAAGGTGGCCCTCTATCCCGTTGCTGGCAAGTACTGTTGGGTTCTCTGAAGCTGTAACAGACTAGATTGCTAGTGATTTTGTGCCAAGTGAAATTTCCATTTCAGTTGGTGATGTTTGCTGACTGCCCCCAAAACACAAGCCTTGTAACGTTGGCATATTATACTGTGCAGCAGAGATCAAACCTACATTCTTCCCCTTTCCCAGGTGTCAGTATATTGATCATATTGTCTCCCCAACCCCAGAGAAGCACCTTCTGGGATATCCCAGAATCTGGTAAGATGCTCAAATTCATAAGAAGGCAATTGTTAGGAGCAGGGCTTTAATGGTGAAGTTGACAGTGTATAATTCTGGTATATACCATCAAATAAAGCTTAGGCTCCTTAGTATAAAAATCCCTTTGTGGAAGGGTTGCCTGGGTGGCTCAGTCAGTAGAGCATCCAGCCCTTGATTGCAGGTCATGATCTCTCAGTGGTGAGATCGAGCCCCACATCAGACTCTGAGCTAGGTGTGGAGCCCTCTTGGGATTTTCTCTCTGTTTCCCTCCACCCCTCCCGCACTTGTTACATGCGTTCTCTCTCCCTCTCCATCTCTCCCTCTGTCTGTCTCCCTCTCTCCCTCCCTCCCTCTCTCCCTCTCTCCCTCTCTCTCTCCCTCTCCCTCTCTTGAAAGAAAGAAAGAAAGGAAGGAAGGAAGGAAGGAAGGAAGGAAGGAAGGAAGGAAGGAAGGAAG